TAAACGTACAATCATATAATTTGTTGGATACCTAATTATATTATATAATGTGTCACAAAATAAACTTGTATACCCCCCTTCCCAATGCAATATTGAAAAGTAAATCATTTAAAAGTCCTGAAGATAAAATATGTTTTGAAATATGCCCTGCATACTTATTTATGCAAAGACATATAGTAATTATTGAACTACTGTGCCGGGGGCTTGAAAAAAATCTATGTAAGGGATTCGGAGACGAGAACAGTAAAAAAAAGCTCAGCAACGAATTCTAAATGTAAAATGATTTGCAGCATAAGACATGAGAGCATATATTATAGATAGTATTAAATATGAAGTTCACGCCTCATATAGTGAGGTCCTATGTCATAGGACTATTGTTGTAACATGGGTTAGTAACTGGTTCCAATTTATCCTGAATTGTCTTTATTAAAGAATTAGTTCCGGAGTATAACAGCTTATGTCTCTACTTGTGGGTTTCTGGTTCTGCTGTCGTAATTAGGTGATTTTTTTCTACATGTAGTAAAAAAGAGTGGGCTTAGTCCAAATAATTGTAACGTCCTGGATGCTTTTTATTCTTTTTTCATGTGTGCCTTCCTGCAACGTTTCTGAGGATCAAGAAAAGTAAAAAATGATATAGTACTAAAAAACGTCATGATTACATGTATCTGGACTTAGAAGGGGGAGGGGGGCTAGCTATGTATTTTTTTTTTATTTCAATGTGTAGACTGTAGGAGAGTTTCTTCAGAAAAGGTTTTCGTTGGAGGTGTGTTTGCCATGCACGCAGGCATCTGTTTCTATCCATGAACAAGTTGTGTGTCAAATTAATTATTAGTACTTGTCACTCGCATTTTTTGCTCGTCCTGGCCATTATTGGCATTAACAGCCAGTGCACAAACTCGCACGAACGCCAAATTTAGTTAGAGGGGCGATATTCTGACGCGTTTTTTAATTCTTGGTCACTCAAGTTTAGAAAGAAAGGGGAGATCCAAACAATTACCGACCAATCACAAACGTTGTCGCAAATTTGACCGTATGACGTCAAAGAATTTCCCATAATGCAATTATTTCATATAAATAAAAAACTACTATACCAATTGAACAAAAAATATTGCATTCAAATGACATTTTATACCAATTGAATAAAAAATATTGCATTTGAACGAAAATTATACCATTTGAATGAAAAATTATACCATTTGAATGAAAAATTATACCATTTGAATGAAAAATTATACCATCTAAATGAAAAATTATACCATTTGAATGAAAAATTATACCATCTGAATAAAAAATATTGCATTTGAACGAAAATTATACCATTTGAATGAAAAATTATACCATTTGAATGAAAAATTATACCATCTGAATAAAAAATATTGCATTTGAACGAAAATTATACCATTTGAATGAAAAAATATACCATTTGAATGAAAAATTATACCATCTGAATGAAAAATTATACCATTTGAATGAAAAATTATACCATCTGAATAAAAAATATTGCATTTGAACGAAAATTATACCATTTGAATGAAAAATTATACCATTTGAATGAAAAATTATACCATCTGAATAAAAAATATTGCATTTAAATGAAAAAATATACCATTCAAATAAAAAAATATTGCATTTAAATGAAGATATATACCAATTAAATAAGAAATATTGCATTTAAATGAAAAATATCAAATTTTTGCAACCAATACCATGCCATATTCCTCGCCGAAATACTTATAGATAATTACATTTAATGTTTTCTTTTTTTAATATTGGTGTTGTTTTGTTGTTTGGTCATTGGCTATCATATTCAGGATATTTTTGATCAATTTATAAATACCATGCACGGGCAACAAACTCAAACCAAGTTTTTGGAGTGAAACAGTATGAAACCGGAACTTTATACTTTTTCAAACAAATCTCACTTTTTTATTTCTATCTTGTCCTTTTGTAAATAAGCCCAAATAAAAAGATGCTGTAGCTTTGTTGTTTTAAACGGCTGTGTGATAGAAACTGAGAAGGAAGCAGGAATGAAAAGGCCAATGCAGTATACATGTAGTTCATGTCCAGTACGCAATTTAAAAAAAAATGTTATTTTTGCAACCGCCTGTCCTTTGAATAAGGATATTGATTTTCATTTTAAGATAAATAATTTGTACTGAGCTGGGTTTTTTATGTGTGTTTTTATTTTGCTTATAACATTCCGTTCTATTTTTTCGCCAAGCATGCCTTTGGCCTGTGTCAACTAGACCCTCTAACTTGACTTATGAATACAGATTGCCGCAACTCCGGCCGATCCTTGTAAATGAATTGACGGGATTCCCAAAACTTCATCTATAAGACTTATAAGACACAAAGCTGAGCACCTGCTACATTATGTTTTAACTAGGTTTATTTGGGGAGGGGTTTCACATGACAAAAACACAAGAATGGATTTTTCCATTTGTAACTATATTGTTTGGAGAGGGTAGTCGACACAGGTCAGTGTCCCTTTGAAAACTCACCACCACTGCCCCCCCCCCCCCCCTCCCCACAACAAAAGAGAAGACAAACGGATCTCTGACTTGATAAGATAATCATCACTGAATAAGTACGTAAACAATATTGCTAATCTTTTCTCGAAAACCACATACCGGTAGTTATTTACAATAGTTTTCGATGGCAAACATCGAGGAATATATCAAATCACATTTTTGTTTATTGCAATGACCATAAGTTTTAAAGAATTAGGAAGTCAGTGTTCTTGAATCGTTTTATATAGATCTATAGAATAATTTTAAGGTCTAACGCGTTTTCATCAATCAACTGTATTGATATGACATAATTTTGCATTTAATTGGCCAGACACTTATACTATTTCACTGATTTAACACAAAAGGTGCCGTTTGAATTTCGTCTTAATTTCCAGGATTAACTGGCATTGTTTTTTTCATATAACATTGATAAAAAAAATATGGACAAATGCGACGGTATGATTACCAAAGAGACAACTATCCACTAGAATTCAAATGAGGTGGAGGTGAGCAATTACTGGCAACCGTATGGCCGTACTTTTTTCTGTTAAGAATTTAAAAGCTGCTTAAATGGACTGCGCTCTTTTTTTTTATTTCGCTAAAATGGTTAAATTTTAAAATCATAAAAACGCCCTATCTATTCACTGACATTCACTTTTTTCACTCAAAATCTTATCCCATATTGGAGCACAGCTTGTGCTTCAGAAAACTCAGTCACACATCAACTTCTATTAACTGATGTAGGATATCTAGGACGAAATATATTAGTATAATAGTCCCAGAGGATATCAAAAATATATATAGTCTCGATAAACACTTATCTCTTTAACAACCGTATAACGGTTATGAATATTTATTTATATAAATTAACTCCCTATTACGCAGGTGGTCATAGAAAAGAACAGATGTATTCCGAAAAGACTTCCGGTGTTCCGAAAGACTACGGAGGTCGTCCAATATATACTGCGTAAACCCTCAGGAGTTTACGCAAAAACAAGCTTACAATCGGTGCAATTTGGGGAAAAACTGTTAAGTAGTCGTTCCACTATCTACTTCAATAATAAACACGATCTTTAGCTATATTACCGCGGGTTTACACTCATTTGGAAGATTCAGGTATCTGTACCTGCGTGCGCCAGAAACCGAAGGGAAGCCCTCCCCTCCACAAAAAGCTGATTTATTCGATTTATGTTTTTGAAGCTCGTATTTTTGCTCAAACTGCACTTAAACATAAGAAACATGAAAATAATAGCGTTAGATTGAGGGAACATGCATCTATTTCGGAATGCATATCATACAGTTGACCTCTAAAAGTATAGAGAGCCGTTGGAGCAAAAAAAAACAGTATGTTGGACAGAGGCCGTAATATTACGGCCTCCTTACGGTAAGGGTTTTAATAAATCTAATATTGTGAAACCACGTCTTACCTAACATCCATCTGTGCCATTAAAAAAAAAGATCCAGGTATTAGATAGACCTTCATGTTTCAGCAGTATCATTAGTGTAAAGTTCACTTGGATGCAAATGCTCGCTAAAATGCGGATTATTGGGGGACTGTGCATCATCACTATATCCGAAAGTGAAATTAAAGGACTTGAATAGACGCTTTTCCAATTTGTCTTTGAGAAGGTTTTGTATGAATTTTGCTTCATTTGAATACAAAAAAGTTGAAATTAGTGGTGCATAATTATTACCCAATGGAAAGAATAATTAATTATGTAGCATCGTCCTTAATATCTCTGTATTATTGGCCAATGGACGTTGCAAACTTACCTTACTACAACAATAAATAATCTCGCACTTCATTCAAATTTTGAATTTATTTGTTAAACAGCAGAAATTCACTGTACAATTAGGTTCAAAAGTTTCTTATCTGAATCCGATTTCACCTGGATTAATGCACGCTCGATGAAGCTAGTTTGTCTAGCGAAATATTTCGTTTATTTTTTGTCGCATTGTAAATATTTTTAACATTCTAATATTTCATACTAAATAGTTTATAAATTTATATTGTTGGGCAATTTATGTATACATTGTATATGTACTATATATACCTATTCAAATTTCTATTAAAAAAAGTAAAATAACAAAAATACCGAACTGCAAGAGAAAATCAAAACGGAAAGTCCTTTATAAAATGGCAAAATCAAAAGCTCAAACACATCTATCGTATGGAAAACAACTGTTATATTCCTGACTTGGTACAGGCATTTCTTTATGTAGAAAATGGTGGATTAAACCTGGTTTTATAGCTAGTAAAACATTTACTTTTTTATAATATAAGTCTGAAAGTTAACAATAAAAGACAGTCGAAGTATTAGTGTAATATAAACAGATTTTAAGATCAGATAAAGGTTTTTTTTCACACATGGAAAATTTGTATTTGTTTGCATTCACGGTAATTAGTCAAAAATAAAAGTAAATAGCATATCTCTGAAATAGTTTTCATGCCTAATCGATTTTAAAAAAGTTAAATGATAAATTTGATAATTGAAATATGTGTTTGGTTTTACGCACATGGATTGTTAGATATTAATGGATACTAAATAATTTCATGTAAGTTTATTTCTTCCTTATTCATAAACAATAATTAAAACATACTTCGCGAATCAAAAAAGAATAGAAAAGCATTGAAAAGCAAAATATTCAACTTCTTACACATTAAATTAGAATTTGATAAACAAATACTGCGGTATACTAAAAGCCGTAACATATGTAACACCGGATACAACTATCTGTTTAATCGAGACACTGCTATTAGTTTATTTCCAAATTCTGACTGAAAAATATGTTAAAAAAGAAACATGTTCCAAAAAATTGTCATTTTTATATCTTATAGTTATAATTTTTGATTTAACCATGGATAAGGAGATTATGGGGTAAAAGTCAAAGAGATAGCAACAAATGACACAAAAAAAAATACATCTAGAGGTCAACAACTGAGTTTCAACTATCGACACGTGTATATAAACATTGTCTCTAAATCGTCCCTGATCTAAACAATTAAACTTAATAGAGACTATAAAAAAAAATATGAAATCAACACCGAATTTCCTGAAAGACAAAAACATCCCCCAAATAAACATATATAACAAGATATAACAATACAAACACTGACGAATTTCCTGATAGGCATGGGAACACATGGCGGGGTTAAACTTTTGTATAAGTGAAAATAAAACAAATAAATGAACATTAAATAACTCTTACATAACAGGATGATAGATAAAAAAAAAAAAAAACAAAAGTACAAGCAACCAATGATTAACAATACCGTATCAAAGAATTATCACATTTACTGAAAGTAAGCTTCGTGCCGATTCATGAGCCGAGCCCTTTCCAACTCATTTTTACAGTTTGTTCTTGACGAAAGTTGACACATCTTTCTTGATTTCAACTTAGGAAACATAGAGCGCAAGGTTCGAAAAATTTAATATTCACGCTATCTTTTGGTCGACGAATGCGCTATATGATTTCCGGTCATACATCCAAGTATTAAAATGGTTTGTTTTCATTGAATGGTGTTGAAAATTATAATTTATCCTAATTTTGACGTCATAAAATGATACGTAAATTGAAATTGAAGGCATATTTCCTATCTAGTCATTGTTTTCTTTGTGATACATTGTGATATTGGTAATTAAATCCAAATTTGAAATGTAAACTTAAAATAAGGAACATATTGCAGCTTCATCGCACCTACTCATTTTTACAAAATTTAAGTGCAAAAGTTTAAGAAATATTAAGTTTATATTCTAATCTTGGAAAGGCACTGAAAAGTTAACAGTCTATGCCTAGCAGTTCCTGGAAAAGGGACGAATCATAATCAAGTTTCCAAAAAAAAAACCTTTAAGTTCAAGATATGATATGTTTGTAAATAAGAAACTATCAAAAGAGGCAATTCAAACACAGACAATACCACGCACAAACAGACAAAGATATTTATACTTGAATGATGATAAAAGTCTATTCGTGACATTTTTATTAAGCACAGATGCAGCGTGATCGACATCTAGCGAAACATACAGCACAAACCAGCGTTGAGAGCCGCCAAGCGCTTTTCCTTTGGCATTGTTTTGTCAAGTGTGTGTAGGAATTTGTGTCATGAATATCTTTTTTTCTTTTCCGCCACTTCTCTAATAGTTCAGAGAAAGTAATTTTCTGCATCGTAAAATGAATGTTCACTACTTTTCGAAACTCTGACCATTAAGAATACTTTTCAAGGTACGGTCCTTGTTGAAGGCTGTATGATGACCTCTATATGTCTTTTAATTATTATGTCACTGGGTTGCTGTCTCATTAACATTTAACCCACTCTGTACGTGTATTCTACAAGATTTTCCATCGTTGTTGAATAAGCGGACTTTCTTTCGAAATGGAAAAAAACAAAGACATTTAAACTTCATGCAATGTTTGGTCAATATTTATTTATTTAACACTACTTAGATAACACTACTTAGATAAAACTCTGATGTTTGATTTATCCTATTTCTAAGGCTATGATTCAAGTTACAGGCAGCTACAAATTTCTACAGTAATGATTGGTTGCATGGGAATAAGTACAAATTTCTACAGTAATGATTGGTTGCATGGGAATAAGTACAAATTTCTTCAGTAATGATTGGTTACATGGGAATAAGTACAAATTTCTACAGTAATGATTGGTTGCATGGGAAAAAGTACAAATTTCTACAGTAATGATAGGCTGCATGGGAATAAGTACAAATTTCTACAGTAATGATTAACGGTTGCATGGGAATAAGTACAAATTTCTACAGTAATGAATATTGGTTGCATGGGAATAAGTAAATTTCTACAGTAATGATTGGTTTCATGGGAATAAGTAAAAGATTTTCTGCTTTATACTACATTGTACCTACAATTTCTGTTGTTGGCTGTCAAGGCGACAATTTTAAACATAAAGCAAAAGTAAATATCAAACTGTATGGCAAACATAAAACTCGTAAATACATTTTGAATATCTAAACAAAGGGAATTATAACAAGATCACGTGAAATCTAATGGTGACCATTAAATTTGTGTAGTGCCGATTTCAGTTGTTCTTCGTCGTGTCGTTAGGTGCACAGTGTATAGACACAGTATATATATACAAATGTAGGTTACTCTATTTTCAGGTCGCTAGAATAATATAGAATGAAGAAATGGCATCAAAGTTTAATATACAAAAAACGACGGCAATGGTAAGAATTTTATGGGATTTATTAATGAGTGTCAATGATTCATTGGAGTGGTCGAGAAATTGACGATTTGTAGATAAATATCTTAAGCCGGGTTATTGTGAAAATATGGGGTGGACGTACACATGTAAAACATTTCATGGAAAACTAGGCAACAACAAACACACCAGCCTTAACTGCAATCATTTATCGCCTTGCTACCTTATGATTTTAGCTTAGATTTTAGCAATATCAAAATGTTTATCTCCAAAATTATAATATATAATTATTCAATTGTAGCATACATTTGGGGGGGGGGGGGGGGGGGGGGGGCGGACTCATAATATATATCGTCAGAGTTCATTAAATAGTAATAAACTCGGAGGATATCGATATTAGTGAGAACGATCAATAAGTATTTCTGGTTAAAACAAATTTTTCAAGTTCGCTGGAGACCAAAAGTTTGGGAGACAAAATACATAAAAATCCAAAGAGCACAAACCCATAAGTTCATTAACAGGCGAAACAAACTATACAATTTCAATGCATGGGGAATTTGCAATCTCATTTTAGAACACCCGGTCTTTAGGGCCATTTGAGCTAGTGTTTTTACTAATCGTGCATCATCCTTAAACCTTTTTACATTTAATTCTTATTCTCTATAACCAAATATCCAATTTAATCAAGACTTTAAAAGAATGATGAATGGGAAGACTTTCTACAAAAATAATCTAATTCGGTTCCTCTCGGATGAAAAACTTGGTCCTAAGATCGATTCATATTTGCAAATTATTTAAATACCACAAGTCTAATACAGGAATAAAGGGTGGGCTGGCTGTATTAAAATAGTAATTTGTAAAAAGATTTTTAGCTAATAAAGCATTATTGTAAATGTCCGATAGATAAGAAACATTTAGAAAGGTTGGTAAATGACCATATTTGAAAGAAAATATAAAAACAAATCGTATTTTGAAATTAAGACATACTATGTTTATGTCGGCTTAAAGATCATTTATTTATATATTATACAAAACTATTTTGAATATTTGCTATTCATAAGGTCATTAGAATAAAAATAGATTCAGAAATCATTCCGTAATAGGACCCAATATAAGAATATATTTTTCAAACCAATATTGTAGTTGAGTTACCTTGAAAAGATGTGCACGAATATAAAAGTTTCAACTGATTGTTTGGTGTCCAGTTCAATCTTGTAACAAATATTAAAATGCATGCAAAGTTGCTTGTGTGTTTTATCATTAATTTTTATTTATCAGATAAAGCCTACGCCAAGTAAAAATGAACCTCACTTATCGAAATCACAACAAAGAATAAATAAAAATGACCCTTCAAAATCTGTTCAGAAACTTGGGAAATATGGAAGTATGCAAAATAGCAACCATGGAACAGGTGATGAAAAACAGAAACCTGGACAAAGACAAAATAATGGACAGACGTCGACAATGCCAAACACTATGTCAAAGTTTCAAGTAATTTCCTCTAAAAGGGACGGAAGGGACGGAAAAGCAACTAATAATATTTCAAAATCTATGCCGACTGGCCAGCTGAAGAGTATACAAGGACTTCAAAATGTCGTTCCGCCTGGACAGACATCAAAAATAAAAAATAATTTGTCGAAGTCTCAGATAGTTCCACCTAAGAACAAACAAATGGATACAACAACAAATAACCTCGTAAAATCAATGCCGGTTGCACAGCTGAATAACGTAAAAGGACGCCAGGATCTTGACAAAAAATCTCAACAGAAAAGCTTAAATAGACCACAACCGGATGGACAAGTTTCAAAAAATCAGACAGCACAAAGATCTACTACAAAAACAGAGTCGATTCAAACACAAGGACAAACAAATGGTATGCACCCTTTCAACCTGCAAAAATCTGTTCAAGTCAGACAGAAATCAGATGACGCCCCAAAATACCAACGCAATCTCCCAAACAATTCTCAAACGTCCAACCAAAAAAGTCTTCAATCTTTCAAACTGCAAAACACTGTAAATAAAGGTCAGCAAACCCAGGATAAGGCTGGAAATCTGGTAAGCAATAAGATGACATCACAACCAAATACACAGAAATCAGTCAATCAACAAAACAGGGTGCAACAAAATTCGCAGATTCTGGCAAAGCAGTCACATTCTTTCCCAAACGTAACTCAAAATGCTGAAAAAACTGGAAACCAGCAAAATAATTCACAAAAAGTTCAACTTAGACAGCAGAAACAGGGAAATCAAGCAACTAATTTACAGAAAACGCAAACCGATACGCCGAAACCAGCCAATAGGGCAAATAAATCGCAACCGAATGGGCAAATCAAAGGAAACCCGGCAGATATGGTGAAAAAATCCATGGAAATTGGACAAAATTCTGGTAAACAACAAAATGATATAAAAAAAGGAATGAATCCGCTGAAACCTGCAAATTCCGGAAAATCTATTCAAAATTATGGAAACATCGGAAGGTCTAATCAAAATGCTGTTGATGCGGGAAAACCTGCTAAAAATACAAAAAAGTCAAGTCAAAATGCAGGGATATCGGAGAAACCTGACAAAACTACTAGTAATACAGGAAGGTCCAGTCAAATTGCTGGGAATACGGGGAAACCTCAAAACACCGGAAAAATGACGAGAGGACCGGGAGGTAATGTATGCCATTTATAATCTTTTTTAAAATGAATATCAATTGAAGAGAAGATGGCCCATGGACTCATAGGAGAGGAAATGGTGTAGCTTGGAAAAGAAAGAATGTGGGTTTGATGCACACGAGACAACAATGAAATACTCGGAAATAACCATATATGAAAGGAATGCCAGTTTATCGCTATTATCTGTTGTATTGTTTAGCTTAAATTTTACAGTAAAATATCTGCAATTTAAATATTTCCATACATTAACGTATTGATATAGATTTTTGCACTGAGTTGTAAATTTGTAGTCCCAATCAAAGTAGGAGGTAGTATGATAAGAGCCATCATCTAGCACTTGGTAATAAAACAAATACATGTAGTAATTCTGTTCAAACCTTATCATTATTATGTTCGTTCTATTGATAATGAATTGGATGATATAATCTCAGACTGGACAAAAATGTCAGTTGTGATTTCACTACGGCGTCATAAACATTTTGACATTGATATATTGACCTAAAATTTCAATTTTACATATATTTTTTGTTAAACTAGATATGACTCAAGGCCTTATCCAAAAAGAAATAAGCTACCCTCCGGTACATATTTGCATGAGACATCTAAAAGCAAGTTTCTTTTTTTTTTTGTATTGCCAACTAAATAATAATGAAAAGATCTCATTATTATGCTTTTTTGACAGTTTTTGGCATTGTATAATTTACAGGAACCATAAAGCAATATGTAAGACCATATGAAATAATATAAATGCTGATATCTTATAGGCCAAAGTCTGGTTAAATTGTGGAGGATGTTTTCGATGTATTTAGGATAATTTTTTTATTTTCGGATTCAAAAGGCCAACTAACACATTTAGTTTCAATCTTGCATTGTTATAGACAAGGATAAAAAGAAAAAGAAACAGCTTGAAAGACGGAATAATCCGGTACGTCCTCAGATAATTGAATACCCTGCAGGAGTAACAACAATAGCTCTACCTGAACTCCAGGTACTGTTAGACGAAATAGAGGTAATGAGAGGTGATCGGAATTACAGTGCACTGGTAGAATTTTTATCACAGTTGCTGCAAAAAGTACAAAATCTGGAAACTGGAAACTACTCTAGAACGGAGATAGAACTATTTGTAAGACAATTTCAGGATTACAACGAGGGATTTCAGTATCGAATGGATTCAAAATCCAGAGGTAAAAGTTGTCTGTATTTAACATCTGCTTGTTTAATTATGTTTATCAAATACCGTTCTTTTTCAAGATAGAATTACACATGTCGAGACTAACATAAATAAATCAGTAGAGAAAAATTCAGTAATACTAAACGGTTCTTGTATTTGTGGTTACCTCGTAATGCTTTTATGTAACTTTGTCGTACATAGTTACACCTGTTATTCGCTCTAAACCCAACATAAAGAAAATTCTTATTTTTCAAGCCTACTAAAAGTAAAATTTTCAATAACCAAGCTTTAGAATACAATACAAATCAAGGACAAAAAGAAAGCAACTGTACGATTTCAAAGTGTTTAAATTGTTTGTATCCATTGCACTTTTAAAATTGTTGTATCATTTGTTGCAAAATATTTTAGGTCATGCCCTTATTTTGACAAACTATGAGTTTTATCAAGTTCCCGGAGATCCATGGAGCTATGATTTCAAGGATAGACCAGGAGCAGAAATTGATGCAGGTATAATGGTAATCACGAGATGATTTCGGGAATGTGAATAAAGCATCAGGAGTCGTCATGACTAGCGTAAAAACAAAGTAAAAAACTAAGGAGTTTCGGGCCAAAAACAATCAGGAGTGATATTTACCCTGGGTCACAATTCAGCTTATGTTAAGATTTTAAATCAAATGTTTAATAACATGTATGAAGAGGTTGTTACCGGATAGAGATCGGTGCAAACATATTTTTATATGTTTTACACATAGTTAAACTAAGTATAAATTTCTACATTTGCTTGTACTGGAAAACTAGAAGCGTGTTTCCCTATGTTTTATTAGGTATAAAAACAATGTTTCGACAAAATCAGAGTGAGTGAGCAATTCCATCTTTGGCAGGAATTCAGCAGACTTTTAGAATGTTCCATCATATTCGTTGATTTCTCACGAATTTTTAATGTTTTAGGACAGTAGAAGGGGTTCCGCACACAAGAATCAGCCATTTTCAGTCATGCAGTCACCGGAAAAGGCAAAATTTAACAACCTGTTGTATAAACCTTTAGTGTAAATTTAAGTTGAATGAAGAGTTTACCCGTATAATGTTTCTTTCAAATTTGAACGAAGTTTCCCGTAAAGGCGAAATATTATGGTTTCTTGGCTCATCTCTACAATGTCTTTTTCAAGTTATTCAGTATTTTATTTCGCAAATGAATTTAAGAATCTAGTATTGATCATTTCATGTTGAATATATGTAGGAGTTGCGCCATCTTGTAAGTTTTTGAAGTGTTTTTGTCATTTGAATAAAACATTGGTACACAAATCTATTTACAAATATATTTCGGAATAACCTAAAAATTACAACTATTCTATCTGCTTTGTTAGAATTCGTTTACAGATTAGATATAATATAACACATAAGGCATGGCGCTGAGTGCCATGGCATGGTATTTTACTGACCGGGTGGTCATCTACCCAGAAATATAACATTGACCAAATCGTAACTTTACAACGAACAAGAGAGTAGCATTAGTTGTGTTTTTAAAAATGTGGGTGAAAAGTTGGAATCTTTTGCATGAGATATAATACAATTTTATATAGCTTTAGAACACATGATTTCCTTAAAAGTAGAACTAGACTAATGAATGGATACCCCATATCCTTTGTTTTTCTATTTATGTATGTGTATACATTGCAGATAAAATGGAGAAATTGTTAATAGAAATGGGGGTACTTAGTTACAAGAAGAGATAATCTCAAACATTGGGAAATGGAGTGGGAAATGAAATTAATGACTGAAACTGACCACAGGAAATTTGACAGTTTTATTTGTATTATATCCAGTCATGGTAATGTCAATCAAGTATACGGGTGTGACGGTCTGCGGGTGATACTTAACAAGCAAATACGTCGGTTTCGAAGTGAAAAGTGTCCAAGTTTAACAGGAAAACCAAAACTATTTTTCATGCAGTCGTGTCAGGCAGAGGAAGACGGTAAGTTGTAAGACATTAACTGAACATTTTACAAACATTGGAATTTATCCTGCAATTTGGGTGTCTTATCATACAGTAACATCCCAACAGATATCGCTAGCCTGTATTTGTATACTATACAGATATCGCTTTAAAGCTCCGCCCACTGTCTGACTACTTTTGTGTATCGCTGTTGACGAGTGTTGTATGAACTTTCGTGACCTTAGAATGTGTATTGCAGTCGCATTCCAATGACGTATTGCTTGACCTTATGTGAACTATAGATTGAATTACGCTCTGTTTGTTTTCAAGCATTTCTTTAGAGCAATATGAAATAAAAATGAAAATATTTTGTCTTCGTAAACAGCAGGATTAACACAATTTTCTACGGCGCCAATCTTCAAGTTCAAAACTTGAATGTGTACATGCGCTACACGCAAAATCAACCATGCAACAATGTCAATAATCAGTGAATGTCACGGTCAGTTCGAAATTCTGAAGCGTAGGACAAATCATACACTTTTGTCTTAAATCGGACAATGTTTTGTTATTCAGTCTTTTTACTGTTGAAATTAGTTGTTATGTTATGATAAATAATTATTAACTTTCAGCGATGTATTATTGTTAACCATGCGACTCGGACGAGATTCTTTTCGGCGTATCGGTCGTCAGTGATTGTGTGATTTTTTTTAAATATTACTACGCGGGCCTCAAAGGTAAAATAAACAAAACTAATATATTTTAAATAATATGCAATAAATGTGAGTTTTTCTGTCTTTCAAAGCAAAAGCAATGTACAAAATTAATTGCAGGATAAAGACAATAACTGTTTAATGTCTTTAAATATCAGCTGTATTGTACGAGGCTAAGAAACAGGTGTAATGCAAGTTTCAGCGAGCTATTACTCCTGTGTCGAGCCGAGTACAAATACAGCTGATGTTTAAAGACAATTAACAGTTATTGTCTATAGAACACATTCATTTGACTGTTGCATGATGTGTTGAATTGAAATGGCTATAAAGTAATATTTACGTATAATGTATCATTACTAATAATTAGTCCGAAAAACATGCAACAGTCAAGGTGCAAAGATAACAAAATCATATACAATGTTTTCAAAATTATAAACAATGTTTCTCAAGCTCAATAAAAGAATATATACAATGTTTCCCTTAACTCAATTTCATAAAAAAAAGAGAGAGACACAGATACATGTTAAAATAAACTAAAGATAATTATAACTTGCAAGAATTAAAATTATATACATACATTCAGATTAATTGAGATATATTCTGACAAGTATATACAATTCTTACTTCGAGTGGGTTCATAGGTCACAAAATGTCATTTCATGGAAATCCATATTTTACGTTTGTTTTTCCAGATCAGAATTTTACATCTGAAAGTATTGTACCTACAGATGCCAAACCAAAACCAGGAGAATTGGAGAAATCAAGATTTCTGATAAACGACGTGGATTTTCTGGTTGGCTACTCGACATTGCCTGGATACTTGAGTTACAGACATGAACAGACAGGCTCTTGGTATCTCAATGCATTATACGAAAACCTTAAAGAAAACTCTAAACAGTAAGTGGTGTCACGTTACCTCATGGAGAAGTGTTATAATTTATTTCTATATAAAATACGTCAGCTATGACTGCACGTGCTTTCCGTGACAATGTTGAATAACGATTGAAAAAAAAACCACGAAAAGCTTGATATAGCTGTTAATTTCATGGTTGTAGCATCAAAATGTTATTTTAAGAATTGAATGCTTCTTATTATAATTTTATAGGGTTGTTAAAGCGTTGATCGTTGGCACATTTTTAATATGAAGCGCTTCATACAAAATGTCCTTCGGTCAACTCTTTTTCACCCCAATTAAATTATAAAAAGAAGCATTCAATTCTTAATAATTGTTTATTTGGGGTTGGGGCAAGCTTTGTGTGTGTGTATTTAACAGTAAATGGATTATTCGTTAGAGAATATCTCATATGAATACAAGTTCTTCGAAACTTATACTCACACAACTATGTTAACTCCTCCTTTAGTAAAAAGAAGTCTCTGGCACATATGTTATGCCCTGTCTCCTCATTTAAGTTTTTTTTTACAAGTAAAATTGAGAATGGAAACAGGGAATGTGTCAAAGAGACAACAACCATACCAAAGAGCAAAAATCAGCACAAGGCCACCAATGGGTTTTCAACACAGCTAGAAAATCCCGCGCCCGGAAGTAGCTTATTTACAAAAAGTTCCTTACCTACACTAAATAACCATCTTTTATTTTGACAAAGGGACACGCAAATTTGAAAAAAAAAATCCTTAAAAATGTGTTTCATAAAATTAATTTCATGTACTTATTCATTTATATTTTTGCATTGCAGATATGATATAGTGACAATACTTGAGGATGTAAATTTTGATGTTAGCTGTAAGAAGGATCAATACAATTATTTAGATTCAAATCAAGTATCTATGTTCTCGTCTACTTTACGTGGACCCTTATTCTTTCAATGAAAGGAAAGGCACATTTTACTAGAAAATTGTAAGAAATTATCACGTGTTTTGTTTTTTGAAAGGACGCAAGACTGAATTGGTAACCAAATGACATCCCTATTTATCGCCAAATTCTGGACGCCCCGAACATAAAATGTGATAAAGAAATACGTGTACAGATGATCCGAATACAAAATGTGACAGATAAATACGTCCACAGACGCTCCGATTATAAAATTAGATAAAGAACTACGTGCACAGACGCTCGGAATATAAAATAAGATACAGAATCACATGCACAAATGCTTCGAATATGAAATAAGATATAGAAGTACGTGCACATACGCTCCGAATATGAATTAATAAAAGTACCTGCAAAGACGCTCCGAATATAATATCAGATATAGCGGTGCGTCCACAGACGCTCCGATTATAAAATAAAATATAGAATTTCGTGCACAGACGCTCCAAAAATATAAAATAAGATATGATAGCAGTACCCGCAAAGACGCTCTGAAAATGATATCAGATATAAAGGTTCATACACAGACGCTCTGAATATAAAATAAGATGTAGAAGTACGTGCCCAGAGAGTGAAAATGTTCAATGATATTACTTTTCGTTCACGATATTCGTGAACATTCACAAATGTAAAAATTGTTTATTTATATTTCAATTTACACTGTTAACGTCTATTCAGTTGAATTTTAATTATTGAATTAAAGATATTTCGATACGATTTAAATTTCTACGCATACCTGGATAAATTTTGCTTGTAAAATGGAAATGGAAGTCACACATTTCTACTGTTGTATGTACCATTTTACAAATTCCTATTATATTTTGAATTGAAAGTTAACCTAAAGGAGAAATAATCATTTATTTAATTGATGAGAGAGTAGGTAACTCCTGTAACTGCTTCCAACATCACGTCTTGCTGCCAGGAACATGACAAAATCTGTTATAATGATCCTTTGATTATAGTTAACTTTTCGAATGTTTCTAGTAAAATGCAACACATAAAAACAACAGATTGCACTTCTATTGTTGGTAATTTGTCAACACTGAAATCTTAAGATTTCTTAATGCATATGTATCGATTGAAAATGCTGTCTTTTGTCTGATGAGTTGTTATGTTCAACGTTTTGAAATGTTTTCGTTTTAAAAATAGCATCATATAAATGTCCATTCGTGATAACCGTACGGTGACCTGATGATGTGTTTCTATTCTCGCCCTTTGGTATGTATTTGTATAATTGAATGTCTTACCTTTATGATGGTATGTTTCTATTCTCGCTCTTTGGTATGTATTTGAGACAATATCTGAAAAAGTATAATTTCCATGTTCCATCTTTCACCAGCAATTATATTTTTATTCAGGCATCTTTTTGGAAAATTTTAAGTTTCAGTATTAACTAGAGTATATTATGCACCAACTATTGTCAATTAAACACTCTTTCTTATATTTCTTCTAATAAAATATTATAATTTAAATGTTCAACCCCCCAAAAAATCATGTTGTCCGGTGTTATTTTCTGACAACTAAATCATTTAAAGAATATCTAAATTAAGTAAACAGGCTTCCGATTTTCACAAATATGATAGATTCTATAGAAAACTTGTCCCTTAATGGTCTGATTTTGTTATAACTAAAGCATGTGATGAAATTTTGCATTTTTAAGGGTCTTTTAAATTTTGTCCCAAGGGGTAATTTCCCTCCTGTTACCACTGGGTTTTTTCACCGGTGGAAACGTTTGAAAGACCAAGATTTTATTTCTTGTAATGCAATGAGAAGAGCATCATTTCCTGAATGTATGACTCCATATGTACAGGTGAATGGCAGCCAGTTTGAAAAATCCGAACTCCCAAAAGATCAGAATTTAGAGAAAAATAATTTTGTTGTTCTCTCCTGTTACAGCCTTTTTGTGTACCTTCTGAGAATATTTCATGGTCAGCACTATAACAGTAAATGTGTTTTTATAGTATCTTATTAAATTGATATGTAGATGGAGGTAAACTTCTACACAATTCGAATAAAAGGACAAAAAGTACCGTGTAATTCCTTTCTGTTACATTCTGTCATGTTACCTGATAAAAAGTAACAGCATAACCATAATCAGTAACAGGAAGGATGTTAAAGACAATTTCACTGATGAATCACAAAGTTAATCTACTATATGTCAAACATTTCATTTAATATAAGTTATGATCAGCATATTAAATAAATCTCAACATAATATACAGTATATTGAATGAAAAGACAGGTTTTTTTTTACTTTTGATA